CCCCGGTCCCCGGCCGGATCATCCTGGGGTCGTGAGTCGCCCGGGCCAACCAAGCCTTCCATCCCTCCGGGGTCGGTTAATTGGTACCAGACTTGTCTGGGAGGATAAAAACACTGACTTGTACATCGGCTGGCCCCCGCAAGTCATTGTATAGGCCACATCGCATTCAAACGCCACTACGAATGTACAAATGGAAGTAGAATGCGTGCCGCATCCCAAAAGGGATTGATCAACGGCAAATGCTTTATCCTTTATCCTTTTATGCTTTTTATGATTGTATAGCCGCCCACGAACGCAGCTTGTACCAGTGCGCTCGTCTATGGCTGTTAATTCGACGGTTGGACGTTCTTTGTATTGTCGCGTCAAAATATCAAAAGCGCGTGATTGGTTTTCGTAGGACTGCGTAATGCAGGGTTAATACGGAAAACCCTCGCCTTGAACGTTGGTATCAGCAATATACAAAGCATGTTGACAGTTAGGTACCAGTTTGATTCCTGCGTTCATCAGTTTTTAATCGAGCTTTGTGGACGAAATAAATTTTTCAGACATCGTGGTATAAACTTCTTTTTGCCGGCGTTCTCCGTCCTATGGTTAGCGGAAGAAGACGTGGGCCAAGATAAACTGATCGCGGATTTAGTGGTACGTTTTTAAGCTCTTTGTAGTCTAAGTGGTCCATTTCTGGACCGTGGGCAGCACTTCCCCTACGGGAGGTGGGAAAACGAGTTTCATTTGATTTTGTACATTTTCCCATCCCAAATATCTGAATCTGGGAGAAACGTATTTGTAAGTATTTACATGATTAAAAAATTGTCTAGAATGAAAAAAAAATCAAGAAATTAAATTTGACGGGTTTTTTAAGCATACCACCGAGTGCTGCATAGTGTTTTACGGGCGTTGCACTGCTGCATAGTGTTTTACGGGCGTTTACAAAATGCATTATACGTTGCATATGCTCACCCTTTTCAGAGCGGGGTTGTAGAAGAGGACATTCCTCACGTTGAAATGGTGTTGGAGGACGGCGTACTTGTTCCGGAATCCGAAAGTCGCGATAGCGAGTGAGTCTCAGTATTCTTATTCCTTGAATATTTTTGCATTTTCCACATGAAGCGCGCCCTCACCAGCTGTGTTTATTTATTTATTTATATTTTATTTCCATTATAAACTATAGATATGTGGATATGTTTATTTATATTTTTTATTTACATACACATGAATATATTTGATGTATTTGTAGTTCATATCTGGGTTGTTTTTATATATTTTCTTGCCTTCTCCTCGAGCTCTTTTCACTTATCAGCAATCGCCCAAGTGAAACTTCTCGCAAAACACTTGGGCTACAGAAGCCCAGGCCTGGGTAAGGTGCTATAGCGGAAGTGGTGCATCATTTGATGCCATGGTGGCTTCCGTTGCTCCACCTTTCGACCACTAATCTATAGTCTTTGGATAAAATTTTCATGAACTTCTTTCAGAGCCTGTTAGCGTCGGTACGAGAAAGACAGAGGAAGATACAGATGCCAACTTGCTTTCTTTCATCCGCATTCTCTAACCTGAGGAAAAATCGCATTCCTTTGTAGCTTCACTTCCATCTTTTTCAAAAAAAACCGCCACAATTAAAAAAACGAGTGACTCATATGCGTATTATTTCACATAACCGCTCCTCCCCACCTACAAAAATGGAGAGTGAACGCGTGAAATCCAATTGATACTGAAAAAGAGTTCTTCATTTCAGGTCTCCTCCGGATCCACTGAAACAGCTGAT